CTGGCTGTCACATTCCAGGCCCTGGCCTGGGATGCATTTATTTTCGTATGACCCAGTTGTCAATGGCAGAGAAATGGTGTTCAGACAGAAGGATGGGAGGATCCTTTGCTCACACCAGAGACGCTGCTAGCGTTCTCTCGCTTTGTCCTCCTAGTAGCCCTTTGAGGTAAGCAGTTATGACCTCATCTGTTTTTCAGGAGGAGGAACCAGGCTCAGAGAGGTGAGGCAACTTGCCCAAGGGCACTCAGCTTTTTAGTGAGAGAGGTGGGCCTGGGATCTGTGTCTCCATCCATATTTGGTGCTTTTGTTCTTCCCACTCTGTCGGCTCAGTCCTGTGTCGTGGCTGAAGGCCACGTGCTCTAGGGCTGACCCACTGTGCATCCTTGGGTCACTTACCCTCTCTCAGCCCTTCCTTCTTCCTCCTGTGGACTGGGTAGGACAACACCCACCTCCATGGGTGACGCCCACCAGGGTCTCGGTACATGGCTGACATTTATTTATTTATTTGTTTAATTTTAAAGATGTGGGGTACAATTCAGGGTTAGGTATACAAGTGGTCATTGTGCAGGTAAAGTTGGGGCTCACTTTTTGTCCCCATGTCACCTGGTTTGAGATCAGGTACCCTTATTGATGAAGGGTGCCTTCCCTCTCCCTCCTCCTCCCTCCCCTGGCAGTTTCCCTCTTCTTATAGTATTAAGATAATTTTTCAGGGTCGGCTGACTGACATTTATTAACTCTGCCCCTCCCTGCCTTGGTGGGACAAGTAACTTTATCTCTGTGAGTCTCAGTTTCTCCTCTGTCAGCTAGAGAGACTCGCACTTGCCTCATAGGGAAGAAGCACCTTGTACATCAAAGTGTGTACTCAATTAATACTTTCTCCCACCGGGCTCAGTGGCTCAGCCTGTAATACTGCGCCTTTGGGAGGCTGAGGTGAGTGGATTGCCTGAGCCTGTAGGTTTGAGACCTGCCTGGGCCGCGAGACCTCATCTCTACAGTAAATCAAAAAATCAACTGGGCGTGGTAGCGCATGCCTGTAATTTCAGCTACTTGGAAGGCTGAGGCGGAAGGATCGCCGGAGCCCAGCAGGTCGAGGCTGCGGTGGCCGGGAGTGGCCACTGCACTCTAGTCTGGGCGACAGAGTGAGATTCCAACTCAAAAAAAAAAAACAACTTTCTCCCCGCGCCCCCCTTCACGGACTCCCAGTGCTCCCTCCTCAGTTCCCAGAGAGGAAGTGGGAACTGGAGGCATACCTGGCCTGCCCTCTCTGAGGCTTCCACAAGGATCAACTGCCAGTGTGGTCACCCACGGGATGTTTCTTTTGAGTCGGTGTTCAGCACTTCCCTCCCGGAGCTGGCCCCAAGTCCAGGAGGCAGAGGGGTGGGAATCCCCAGGCAGGTTGGTTGCAGAGACTAGGGGAGGCCCACCTAGCTCTGATGGGGATGGTTTATATCCCCATAAAGCAGAGTCAGATCCTGGCCTCATCAAGGTGGAGGACACCCAGGTAACTGCTGCCTCTGCCAGGGAGGCCTCCAGGAGCTACGAGTTCCATCCCAGAGCAGCTCCCAGCTGCAAACAGTGGCTTGCACAGCTGGCTGTCCACAGAGTTCTTAACACCCAAAGACACCATGTGCCCTGGCTCCTGCCTTCTTCCTGGAGACGCTTCCTGCGTCCCAGCACTCACTCCACTCACTCAATATGTTCACTCGCTTCACAGCTCACCTCCTCCAGGAAGCCTCCCATCCTCCCATTCAATTCCTCTACCCCTGCCCAGAGTTTCCCTGCCCCTGGCATGCACACTGTATGTCATTGCCTCTTTGCACATCTGACCTCAGCAGACTGGGAGCCCTTAGAGGGCTGAGCCATGCCTGATTCACTCTCTGTGGAGCCTGGGCACAAATTTGGGCAGCCATGGGGAAAGCCATGTTCCTGGAAGGTGGAACATCCTAGGCAGAGACACGGACAGGGAGAGTCAGCAGTGAGTGGAGGCCACCATTTATTGAGCTCCACTGTGTGCCGGCCACCATGCTGGGTGTTATACACACTAAGAACTTGGATCCTCAAAATAGCCCCAGGGGGGCATTGCTTCCATTTCAGAGAAGGGAGAACTGAGCCTCTGTTCCAGGGCAGGAGCCCCGGGCAAAGTCCAGCCTTGGGGAGCGCAGAGTTGAGGGTATGTCCAATTCTTTCTGGCTCCAAATGTGAGCCCGGCCTCTCTCTGCGTTGTAGGAATCTTCTGGGTGCTCTAAACCCAGCCTGGTGTAATGTGCAGAGAACATTTTGGATTTTCTTTAAAAAAATTTTTTTTTTGCTAAATTACCTGCAGCATTTGGTTGACCTTGAGGCCTTGACTGTCTCAAACAAACTCTGGGCATCTTGTGATTGGACTTTTTTCCTCACTGTTTTTTTTTTTTTAATCGAAGTTTTAAAAAAAAGCGTGCAGGAATGTGTATGAAGTATACTAATTCTAAGGGTACTGAGTGATATTCTCAGATATATTCTTAAACACACAGGAAACCACCCCCAGATCGAGATCTAGAACATTCCTCACCCCACGGAAGTCTCCCTTGAGCAAGTCCAGTTGGACATATCCTTCTCACTTGATTGTCTTCCTGACTCCTCTTACCCTATGTTAGTTTCACTTGCTCTTAAATTTCACTTACATAGGAGATGCAGCATGGAGCCTGCTGTGTCTGACCTCTTGGCACAGTGCTGGGCTTGTGACCCATTCATACCATGTTTGAGGCCTTTGAGCTTGGCTTCTGCCAGTTTCTCAAGCTCTGTCTTCTCCCACCTCCAAAAATAACTGCCTCAGTGTCTCAAGATCCTCTTTGCTTATGTGGTTCCCTCTGCCTGTCAGGACCCTTAGTCTGTTAAATTAGTCATACCTGTGGCCGCGTGTCACATACCTGTGGGCTGTTCTTTTTACTGGTACCTTGTGTTCCATCTCTGTGCTCTGGGTGTGCCGCCCTCTGGTGGTCTGTTCTCCTGTTCGTGGACATTGGGACTGTGAGTGGACGTATTCCATCTGTGTGACTCATTTCTATTTTCCCAATTTTGATTTAAAGAGTGGCTTTTGCCAGCACGTTTCACAGAAGTGTTTGAAGTTTAAGGAACTGCAAACATCCCCCCCCCCATCCTCATTGTTTTGGATCAGAAATGGATATATTTGTTGATCTTTGTCTTCTCTTCCGAAAGAGACATGGGCGGGGGTGGTGGAGGGTGAGGAAGGGCGGGAAGACAGTGAGCTTCGGCGGAAGTTCTCCCCTTCTCTCCATGTGAGCTGACGGGTGAGGGTGGGGTCTGCCTGTAATTTAAAGCCAGATCCTCACAGCTGACAGTGGACGCCGTAATAAATGTGTGGGCACTGTCCTCTCGGCGTCCTTTTCCTTTGAAATCTCATAAATAACAGAGAGTGTGTCGGTGAGACACCCTCCTTCCCTCTGTGGGCTCCAGCTGTGGTTGCTAGGTTGAGTTCCTGGTTGCTAGGGATTCTGTGTTCCTGTGGCAGCGCAGAAACTTGACGGAGCCGTGAAACTTGCTTTCACTATTAACTGAAATGTTTCCACAGCACATCTCTCAATGCCCATTGTGTGCTTTGACGTCGTCCCCATTGGTGGGTGATCCCTGAGAATTTCACAGCTAGAAGAAGTACCTTAGATGGAGGGGACACGGGGCTTGGACTGGGAGTCAGAAAAGCCCGTTTCTAACCTTGTGTCTGATATGACCTTGCTGTGTGACCTGCAGCAGGTGTCTCCCCAACTCTGGGCACACAAAATTCAAGGACCTGCCAGCCTGGACAGACTACAGTTTTGTTGCTTGAGTTCTCTAAGCAGGCCAGGTGTGAATTCGTTCCTCGTTATCTGCTGGAGGGTTATTGACAAAAGAACTCCCATTCCCGGCTCACTTCCTCCCTACCCAGCAGGCTTCTGGGCTGAGTCTCCTTGGCCAGATGGTGTGTGCACAGTAGTTTCAGGCTCGTTTTAATATTCAGTCAGACATAATTGGGATCATAAATCTTAAAAAAAAAACCAAAAAAACAACCTACAGCCCATAAACATCTGATCATGTCACTTTCTTTCCTCTGGTCAAAATCTTCAGCAGCTTCCCCTGCTGCCCTGGAGATGGAAAGCAAGTACTGTTTTCACCTGCCGAGGCAGATCAGTGGGTGGCAGCGGTGAGAGGTGATGTCCTGACAGGAATCTGGACTCACTGGCTTGCTGTGCAATCTTGATCCATTAATGATGTCTGTCACGAGTCTAGGGGTATAGGCAGGGGCACATATCAGTATCTGCCAATCATACTTGGAGTTGAAAGCCTATGCCCACTCATACCATGTTTGAGGCCTTTGAGATTGGCTTCCGCCAGTTTCTCAAGCTCTGTCTTCTCCCACTTCCAAAAATAACTGCCTCAGTGTCTCCAAAGATCCTCTTCGCTTATGTGGTTCCCTCTGCCTGTCAGGACCCTTAGTTCATTAAATTTGTCAATTCTCCTTTTTTTTTTTAATCTTTCAAGCTTTAATCACCATATTGTCTCAGCTATTCTCTGGCTGTCTTGGGTGGGACTGATTACCCATTCCCTCCTCTGATAGTCCATGGCTCCCTGCCCTACCTGTAGCCTACCTACCTACTACCCAGCCTGTTCACGCTTAATTGCTTTTGCGTCTTTCTCCATCTGCCTTGAGAAGGTCTCAAAGTCATGGCCTGGGTCTTGCTCATCTTTGCATCTCAGACCAGAGCCCTGCACAGAGCAGAACCTTCATAAATCTATACTGAATGAATAAAAGCCACATTGCATCCCAAAGCCAGATAGAAGTGAATTCGATAACTTTCCTGGCAGTCTGTGTTTGTCTGTCAATGCTCCTCAGTTTAATTGCAGGCAATTTACTATGGTAATAAAGTGACCCACTCAGCCCCCCAAGACTGAGCTCGGCTTCAAGTTGTGGGTTTGCATTTTCTCCATCATGATGACCTATTTTTCTTCTCCTTTCCCCCGGCTCTCAGCTTGAGGACAAACAGAAGGCAGCGATGGCATTTGCCCAGCTCCGGGGTGCCATGGTGACTCTGGGCATCTCAGAGAGTGAGCAGCGGGCCGTTTGGCGGGTCCTGGCAGCCATCTACCACCTCGGTGCAGCGGGGGCCTGCAAAGGTATGTCCTTCCTGCTGAGATCACCTGGGTGGCCAGCTGTCTCTCTTGGCAGGTGCCTGAAAAGACCCTTCTCTCGGCGAGGTGGGGACAGGGTCAATCTGTCATCTTCCATGTCTCTGGGACTGCTCTTGGGAGGCTGCTGAAACCAGGCGCCATGCGAGGGAAATGGGGCTGGAGTGGTCAAGAAGACCTTCTGACCAGCTCTGTGCAAAGAACTTTCTGCAATGGTGGAGGTGTTCTCTATCCACATGGTCCAGCTGCTGAGAACTTGAAATGCAGCGAGTGTAACTGAGGAACTGAATTTCTACGTGTATTTGATTCTAATTAATTTAAATGGAAGTAGACACACATAGCAGGTGGCTTCTGTCCGGGCAGAGAGGCTCTCGAACATGCAAGAGGCAGCGGGGTCTAAGCAGGAAAGGTGCTGTGTTTCTATCTCGACACCCTGGAGATGTTTCCACTACACGTGCTAAAACTGATCTTGCTCTCCTTGGCTGCTTCCTTAATTGTCTGTCTGCTGGTTGTCCCGCCTTCTATCTGGTCTTCCAAGTGGTTCCAGCCATCCCTCTCTTCTTACCCTCTCCCTGTCTCATCATTCACCGTGTTCCGATGTCTCTCGCCTTAACTGTTTGCACTTTTTTGTCAGAGGAGGCTTGGACTGTTGCAGTAGCTTTTTGCTGATGGCTTCACTCTTTTTTCCATCCATTCTCACTATGCCCATTCTTTCTACAACACAGACCCACCAGCTATCCTTCTGCTTGGAATCCCCCTGAGGTCCTCCCTTACCTGCTAAGTGAAGTAAAAGTCCTTGGCTTGGCATTCAAGGCTCCTCACTTCTTTAACCTGTCTCTTCTACTCTGTCTCTCAGCACTGTATGAAGTTCTGGAGAGACAGTAGGGATGAAGAGTAATGGTTTCTGCCTTCACAGGACTCATGACACCTTGCATGGTGACTGTCTCTGTCTAGCTCTTTCTAGTAAGGAGAGGCTTCCTTTTGCCGAGAACAGAGTTGGAATTCACTTGTGGAATGAATGCCTGTGTAATGTGAGTCTGTCCTCGGACGGTGGATCAACTCTGGCTGACGTTCTGGCTGTCCCCTGTGGGACGGTCACTCCTGAGAAGGTGCCTGACCATGATTTCTGCCAGTCCTGCCTTCCCAGGCCTTGAGGCCCCTCCCTTTGCTTCTTGTCCACTTGAACCACATGCGTCAGCCCCCTGGACGATTTTGGAAGTTTTTAGAAGTCATGCTGAGTCAGGAATAAGAAAGGTGGGAACTCCACAGTCAATCCAAGTCAAGGACAGTTACGCTGGGCTGTGTGAACATAACTAAAGAGAACACCACTTGCCTTTTCAAAAATCAAGCATAGGCCATGCTTGGTGCTTGGCTTCTGGGTGCCACCACCATTTTGTCAGGGCTTGTGATGTCTCCTGCTCAGCTCCCTGGTCACTGTGGTTAATGTGAGTCATGCACACCAGGGGTAAGAACAGGGCCCCATCCCCAGCCTTGGATGCTTTTTTTTTCCTGCAGACTCTAGTTATGGGTTAGAAACCCCTGCCTCTGCATCTGACTTCATCTATACCCTCAGGCAGCATGGCTCGTGGGCCCAATCCAGCTTGTTGCCTGCTTATTTTGTATAGCCTGAAAACCAAGAATACTTTTTAGGCTGGGTGTGGTGGCTCATGCTTATAATCCCAGCACTGGGGGAGGCTGAGGCAGGAGGACTGCTTGAGCCTAGGCGTTCAAGACCAGTCTGGACAACATAGGGAGATCTCATCTCTACAAAAAAATGAAAACAAAATTGGCCAGATGTGATGGCTCGTGCCTGTAGTCCCAGCTGCTCAGGAGGCTGAGGTGGAAAGATTGCTTGAGCCTAGGAGGTTCAGGCTGTGGTGAGCCATGATTGTGTCACTGTACTCCAGCCTGGGCCACAGAGTGAGACCCTGACTCAAAAAAATAAAACAATAAAAAAGACAACTTTTTACATTTCGGTTGGATGAGGAAGTGTGTGTGTGTGTGTGTGTGTGTGTGTGTGTGTGTGTATGTGAGAGAGAGAGAGAGAGAGAGAGAGAGAGAGACAATAAAATTTTAGAAGACGTGAACATTATGTGGTACTGAGTTCAGTGTGCCCATAATTATGGTGTCACTGGAGCACGGCCAGGTCATCCCTTCACCTATCTGTGGTGCTTTCCCTTGACAATGGCAGTGTCCAGTAGCTGAGACAGACTGCTCTGCCCACCGAGCCAGAAATAATGACTGCATGGCTCTTTACAGAGCAAATGTGCTGACCCCCTCTCTGTCACCCCACAAGATCACAGTGCCCAGGGGTCTTTGTGCCTCTGAACTGCCTCTCTGGCTGTGCTCTGAGAACATTCCTCTATCCTCTTCAAATGCAGCCACACCAGGGAGAGGCAGTCAGGGACCCAGCTCTGCTCCCAATGTGCCAGGTAACTTTGAGCAAGTCAGCTCGCTTCCTGGTTCCAGTTTTCTCATATGTGATATTCTGGAGTTGGACCAGGTGGGAGCTTCTTAACCGGGAATCTGTGTAACCAACACGTCTGTGGACAGATTTCAGGGAGTGGATACATTTTCTAAGACTATTGTCACAAAGCACCACAAAATAGGTGGCTTAAAACAACAGTCGTCTTTTTCCTCTGATAGTTCTGGGGCCAAAAGTTTGAAATCCAAGTGCTGGGAGGGCTGCATTGCCCTGAATGGTTCTGGGGGAGGATCCTCCCTGGCTTTTTCCAGCTTCTGGTGGCTCTGTATGCTCCTGGCTCTGTGGCCTGTCACTCCAGTCTCTGTCTCTGCCTTCACGTTGCCTTTGCTTCTGTGGTGGTGGCATCTTCTCTTCTGTCTCTTATAAGGACACTTGCCATTCAATTTAGGATCCACCAGGGTAATCCTAGGTGACCACCTTGAGATCCTTAACTACATTACATCTGCAAAGTCCCTTTTCTGAATAGGACCACAGTCACAGGTTCCAGGGGTTTATATGGACAAATCTTTGGGGCGGGCCACCATTGAATTCACTGCAGGGAGTCATGATAGATCCTGAAACAGCCGAATTGTGTGTGGATGTGCATTTTTCTGGGGAGAAGTGTAATCTACAACTTTCGCTGTATTCTCAAATGGATCGAAATTACCCCTAAAAGTTTAGAAACTGCCATAATTCATGGTATCTGAAGACCATTCTAGATACACTTTCCCAGAATTTCAATGTCCCCTTTCACCTAATTATAGCATTTTAAATCTAAAGGGACTCCAGGGAAGTGTCATGCATACTTAAGATATACTACAACTACTGAAATAGCAATAGTGACAAAAATAATCACAGCAGTGGTAATAGTCATCAGAATAACCATAATATAGGATAATTATCATAACCACAGTGAGAGAAATCATTGCATTCTAGTCATCGTATATGTCTTCACTCATGAAATCCTTACAATAAAGCCAAAGGGTGGGTGTGATTGTTATCTCACCTCATAGAAAAGTAGGGCCCAGAGAGAGCCCAAGGTTGCATAGCTAGGAAGTGGCAGAGCTGGGGTCTAAACTCTGAGAGTCCAGCTCCAGAGTCTGAGCTCTGAACCCTGTAGGAGTAACTGGTAGGAGGAAGAGGAGCCATCTGGTGTCTCCCCCACCCTCAAACATCTTTGAGCACAGGGCCCTTTTTTCACAACCCAAAAATGAGTGTCTCCCTTTGCCATGAGGCTGCGGGCTAGCCTGCCTGGAAGGCTCCTCTCAAGCCTTCTGCTCCCTGCGGATCTTGATCTCCATCTGGGGATGGACAGATGAAGGGCTTGTCCTATAGACTATGGCCATCCCTGGGATTCAAAAAGCGCTGACTCTGAAGATACTGGTACCAGGGAGAGAGCATGTGATTGACTCTGACTGGGTCGCATGACCATTTCCTCATCCCTGATAGGATGGAGGTCCTAGACTGAGAACCCCACTAAAGCCACGGTCCACGGAGAAAGGATTTTAATTATCAGAAGGCTCAGGTCACCATCTTGGTCAGCGTCTGCAAATGCCAAAGGGGGGTCCTTTAGCAGGTATCTCCAGGTGAAGCAGAGTTCTTACTTTCAGTATGGGTTTCTGAGTGTGGAGACTAAGTTGAAACCCCTTGATCATATCAGAAAAGACGAGTCACCCCATAGAAGCAGAAGTGTGAGAAAGCTACCCATAGGGACTAGGAAACTGTTTCTTACCTCATGCCCTCTAGACCCAGCTGAGGACTTTGGACAATGTTACCCTCACTTAAACTTTTTCACAGGAGCCATCTCAATCCCAGAGATGAGTCAACATGGACTTTGTGTCCAGACCTGCACTAGGCAGAAGGAGGAATGTGAGAAACTGTTCGGATACCATCCTTTCTTGTGAATTTGCCATCTTGTTTGAAGAGATGAGACTTCTAAACTTGGGCCCATTGGCTGATTTTGTTAGCTGACTGAGAGTGGGCAAGTAACCAGGAAGGCATGAAGGCTCAGAGTTGGGGCAGAGACATCAGTGGGCTGGGTGTGTGCGGAAGGAATCAGATGGGCCTCACAGAATAGAAAGCTGAGGCTCAGATGGTCTGGGTGCCATCAACTGCTGCGTGCCATCAACTGCCCATTAGGGGCAGATTTGGGATCCAAATGGAACTTGCCTGGAACTCAGTGGCCTCTTCTTTCAACAGCCTGAGAGTGGGGTTGATGTGAGGGTTAAATGGAAGAAGGAAGAGGAAGGTGATCTAGGTTGGGTTTCCCACAAGCAGACTCTGAGACAAAGATTTGGGGACATGTAGCTTGTGGGGGAGAGGACCCAGGAGGCACTGGCAGAGGAACAGGAAACTGAGTCAGGAGGGAAGTTGGGTAGGCATGTTGTGTTCAGGAGCTGTTGACCTGGGCCACTGAGGCTCAGCCCCGCTGAAGGCCTCTGGGTGGCAGTGAGGCAATGCCCCCTGGTTGCCATACCCAAGGGGCAAGGAAGCTGAGTTATCTACCCAGAGTCCCCTAGCCTAC